TTTTTTTAATTTTATTTTGGTGAAGCTGAGTCTCTACTAAAAATAAAAAAATTAGCCGGGGGTGGTGGCGGGCACCTGTAATCCCAGCTACTCCGGAGGCTGAGGCTGGAGAATCGCTTGAACCTGGGAGGCGGAGGTTGCAGTGAGCCGAGATCGCACCACTGCACTCCAGCCTGGGCAACAGAGCAAGACTCCATCTCAAAGAGAAACTGGATAATTCTGGTTCTTAGGCCGGGTCCTCTGGTAGAGGAACCCCTTATCTTCTTATAGCAGCACCCAAGTTCGGGCTTGGCCACAGAGGCCCTCCAGGTGGTTTTATTTATGACCCTAACCGCGGGGCTGGGTGTCTAGGGTGGTGGAGGCAGAAACGCTGGAGCCAATGCCCCCGACTCCCCTCTGCCAGGAGGTCTGGGAGTTTGGGTGGCTGGCACTCTGATGCCCTTTGCGCCTGGTGTTCGCTGTGTCCCGTGTCCAGAAGAAAGAATGCTGGTCCGTATATCCGAGTGGGATCCCTGTGGAACTATGTGCACAGGTCCCTAGACTGAGAATCGATCCCGAAATTTGATAGTTTAATACTTTCACTTACAGGGGGCAAAACCAAACCAAAATGAAACACACACAAGGGGCAAGAGAATCCTGGGGGCTGGAAGTTGCAGTGAGCTGAGATCACGCCATTGCAGTCCAGCCTGAGCAAAAGGGCGAGCCTCCATCTCAAAAAACATAAGTTAAATAAGTTAAGGGGCGGCGTGGGTGGGTGGGGGTGGGGGTGTGTGTGTGTGTGTAAATTTTGTGATTGGTTGGAAAAAAATTCTCATTTAAGTGGGACCCAAGTTTCGTTGAGCGTCAACTGTGTTGCCATGTGCCTCTGTACAAAGTGATTTCTTTTTGCCTTGACTTTCCTCTTCCCCCCAACCCCAGACAGTCTCATACTGTCGTTCCTGGCTGGAGTGTGGTGACATGGTCTCACTGCATCTTCCGCCTCCCAGGTTCAAGCAATTCTCCTGCCTCTGCCTCCCGAGTAGCTGGGACTGCAGGCATGGGCCACCACCACGCCCGGCTAAGTTTTGTATTTTTAGTAGACACGGATACCATGTTGGCCAGGCTGGTCTTGAACTCCTGATCTCCTGCTTCACCCGCCCTGGCCTCCCAAAGTGCTGGGATTCTAGGCCTGAGCCACGGTACCCCACCAACTTTACTCTTTTTGAGAAAACACTAGAGGCCATGCATTGTTTCCTGTGACCTTCCACCCTGAGAAATTTCCCACAGTCCCCTGTTCGCCTGCTTAAGGGCAGACTTAGTTGAAGTGTGAATGCTGAGGATCTCCTTAATGTAATGGTTTTTAACCTTCTCTTTCAGGGGCCTCTCAAAACTTCTCCGAGACATTGATAAAAAACCTTAGTAAGCTGACTCTCAATGCCAGTACTGAATTCTCTTCCCCTCTGCCAGAGGGCTCACTCCATCAGCAGTCTACAGGAGCAGCAATCCTCAGGGAAATTGAAGGTGACTTGCCTTACAGGAGGAGAGGAGTAAGAACATTGCTGTCTGTGAAGAGAGAAAGGCTGGCAAGACTCAGATACATGTTATTACTTGGCAGAGGTCCTA